TTATTAGATTTATAGCCCGCCCTCCCCACAAGCGGGTTCTGGGCGGCTCACAGATAGGGCATGTATGCTAATAGTTAAAACATTTAAAAACAAGATAAAACAATCAATCAATTACAACAATATAAAGTGCTCAAGATGTTTCAGGAAAGTCTTCAGTAATAAGATGGCTTCCTGGAGATAGCAGTCCCAATTCAGTGGTATCAGATCCACGCAACGCTGTAGTTCATTTAACACAGGGCCATCTCACCCCCCGCTGTTATAATATAAAGTGCTCAAGATGTTTCAGGAAAGTCTTCAGTAATAAGATGGCTTCCTGGAGATAGCAGTCCCAATTCAGTGGTATCAGATCCACGCAACGCTGTAGTTCATTTAACACAGGGCCATCTCACCCCCCGCTGTTACCCATCTCAGTTGGTGGTAGTGGTGGAAGTAGTGGCGGCTCCTACTTGAAAGCCTGGCAGAAGAGCTCCGTTTTGCAGGCCCTGCGAAAATGCGCAAGGTCTCGCAAGGCCCGGATCTCCTCCGGGAGTTCATTCCACCAGGTAGGAGCTGCCACTGAAAAAGCCCTGGCCCTGGTAGCAGCATACCTGGCATCTTTGGAGCCTGGAATCACCAGCAGATGTTGCGTCCCCGACCGTAGTACCCTTGGGGGAACATATGGGGAAAGGTGGTCCCTTAGATATGTCGGACCCTGGCTATATAGGGCTTTAAAGGTAAGAACCAGCACTTTGAAGCGAATCCGGTACGCTATTGGCAGCCAGTGCAGCGCTTTCATTTCAGCACAGGTCAGATGTGCTCCCGCCTAGGGAGACCCATCGAAAGCCTGGCTGCAGCATTCTGCACTAGCTGCAGCTTCCGGATTTGCGACAAAGGCAGCCCCATGTAGCGAGCGTTACAGTAGTCTAACCTCGAGGTGACCATCGCATGGATCACTGTGGCCAGGTCATCACAGTCAAGGAAGAGAACCAACTGCCAGGCCAGCCAAAGATGGTAGAAGGCCAACTTGGCAGTGGCTGCCATCTGGGCCTCCATAGTTAACGAGGAGTCCAGGAGCACTCCCAAACTCCTAACCTCCAATGCTGGCACCAAAGGCACCCCATCGAAGGTCGGGAGAGGGAGCCCCAACCCCTACCCAACTCAGGCCCAGGACCTCCGTCTTCACCGGGTTTAGTTTCAGCCGACTCAGTCTGAGCCAACCAGCCACAGCTTGCAACGCCCGGTGAAGATCTTCTGGGCTGGAGTTCGACTGGCTATCAAGAATCTGCTGTAAAGAGAGACACAAAGCATTAAAACATTTTTATTAATGTTGAACTTTGACTTTTATTCAGTCCACTTTGCTTCTTGTGAAAAGGAACAGTTCATCCTGAAATGGTTGGGTGTGTCATGCTATATGCGTGGTTCTGCCATGCTTAATAACAAGCCCCACCCACTATTTATTTGTCATGTATTACCTGTAGTAAGGTGGAGCTTAGTTTCTTACTATAGTTTTATCTGATGCTCATCTGGACATATACATATCTGACAGAACAGTATAACAAGTGGTATGCTGACATAAATTTGAGAGGACTCAAAGTTAAATTTAAGTTAGATACAGGTGCTGAGGCAAATATCTTGCCAGCTAATGTATTTAATGCTCTCCCTGGACAGAAGATATTATCAAGTAGTAATGCAGTGTTGATGGCTTATGGTGGGACATGTATAAATACCATGGGTACCATTGTTTTGACATGTTCAACACAACGAAATGAAGCTGAGTTAATGTTCTATGTTACAAATGTTTCATCACTTCCATTGCTGGGGAGGGTAGTGTGTTATACATTGAATTTAGTACATAAAGTAGATGTTGTACAGTCAAAGGAATTGACTTGTGAACAACTGTTAATGATGTACAACGATGTCTTTGAAGGTCTAGAGGAGTTTGAAGGGTCCCATCATATATATATAGATCCAACAGTTCCCCCAGTAGTTCATGGATGCAGGAAGGTGCCATTTACAATACTGGATAGACTAAAGGATATGCTGGTTCAGTTGGAGGAAGCAGACGTGATATCTAGGGTGGTGGGTCCCACAGACTGGGTAAATAGCTTGGTGATAACAGGGGGGGGAAAGGGAATTTACGTATGTGCTTAGATCCTCGCGACTTGAATAAGGCAGTTCGAAGACAGTACTATACTATTCCCACTGTGGAAGAGGTCCTGACCCAGTTAGCAGGAAAGAAAATCTTTACAATAATAGATGAAAAGGATGGGTACTGGCAGGTGAAATTAGATAAGTCGTTGGCATTATTGTGTACATTCAATACCCCATGGGAAAGATATTGTTTTAATAGTTTGCCGTTTGGTTTGGTGACATTTAGTGACGTTTTCCAACAAAGAAACTATGAGGTTTTTGGTCATATTGAAGGAGTGTTTATGATTGCAGACAATATGATTATAGTGACAAGGACTGTAGAGGAGCATGATCAAATCCTGCATCAGGTGATGGAAACAGCAAGAGCCAAAAATGTAAAATTTATTACATGGGGACTCGAAAACTGTATGAAGAAATTAAACAAGTTGACCTGGTTATGTATTAGTCACATCTCCTAAGAACAGTGAAACATGGTTTTCTAATAATGTGTTTCTCCCACGTTTTGGTTACTTTGAATATTCAATCTGTTTTCTGGAACAACAAAATCTCATCAAAATCCCTTCTCCTTTTAGTGATTCTTTAATATTTGTGGTATTATATTTTTAGCCTCTCTCAAATTCATTTGAGCGCAAAGAAATATTTATCTTTAAATGAGAGTTGAGGTTTGTAAGTGTGTACAAGAACCTGCTCTGCCCTTGTCCTTCTATATCAAGGTATATAAATTGAAATAAATAGTTGCTGTTGAGAATATTTTTGTTTATCTTCTTTTGTCTACTTTGAGGTTATAGTTTTCTTTTTTCCTAATGTCTGTCAAAATGTTTGTGTAAGACCTTTTTGATTAGGCAGCATCTGGGAGTTGAGGATAAGGAAGGGTGACTTTATAAGCACGACATTTTAAATTGTCCATGTTTAAAAATACATTAATTGCAAGAATCTGGTTTTTGTCCCTAAAGGTTGCATTTGCTATGTGACTGTGGATTGGTTATGTTGTAAAGCTAATAAGCTGTCTAAAATACCGCCCATCTTTCCCATAAAAGCACTCCAGGCACTATATAAGTACAGAATGTGAATGACAGAGAAGAATACAGTCCTTCATAAAAACAATAAGTGAATTGTAATTGTAACTGGAACATCTGGAATAGTTGAGGATCCTGGGCTAGATAAAACTGCCCAAGGACTCAACCATGAAGCCTAGCTGGGAAGTTACTTTATTGGAATTAAAAGCTTTACATGCAGCCTTTGAAAGTAAAGAGCACAATCAGGCATAGTGAGCTATATTTCTGTTTAAGGATTGATTTGCTGTGGCATCAGGACCATACTGGTTATAGACGTATGCTGCAAGTCAATTCTGAATGGGAAGGATTAGGAGCTTTGTGTGTCTGGAAGATGCAATGTTTTGCCATCACATTAACATTCCTACTTTTTATGTCCATTTTGTTGTTGTCTCATGCTATTTGCATTTTAAATTGGATTGTTTGTTTTTTTCAAAGTCTTTTGATCCGTATAACAACAGAGATGCACATTGTGTCTCTTTAAATAGGCTTCCCTGAAGAAATGCCCTTGGGTGCCAAGCACACTGAAGCAGCATTGGAACTTCCAGGAATCCACATTTCTGCCAGCTGACTAGCAGTATGGGCTCAGGTGGCATAGAGGTGGTTCAGGCATTATGCAGGACTGTGGTTTGGATCCAGCAGAAGATTTACGCAGACAAAAGGAGGAGCATTTTTGCCAATTCCCTCCCAATCATGCTGTTCCTGGGGTACCGCCCCCTCCCAGAGCAGCATTTGGGGCTGCAGTTGGGGGGGGGAGAAGCCAATCATACTCCCCAACAGAAAACCCTTCCATAAGTGGCAATTTCTGGTGGATCCAAGCCTTTGCTTGGCACTATGAGAATGAGTCTGGAGGTTGCACATTCTTTTCTGATAATTCTGTCTCCTGACTGCAGCCACGTGTCTGCTACCTCCTACAATATTCATGAGTGCGCCTGATTGTAAGTGTTTAGGGGGGGGGTAGGGGGAAAGGAGAGGCAGCAAAATTCCCTTTTATGAACTTGATCCATTTACAGCTCTATAGGATTCAACCCATGGATTGTAATTCTGTTTTACTTGGAAAGACAAGCTGTAGTTTGTCAGTTTGAATGAAACAGAAAACTATGGATTGTGCTGAGGCAGAAGTAGAATTGATAAAATTGCTGTGACGGGAGAAGGGAGTGCAAAACCATTAGACTCTCTAGCCTGTCTTTGTGTTGCCAAACCATGACTCAACATGATGTATCAATCTGATCCAAAGTCCTAATTGGCATCTGTAGTGTAAAACCAGTTATGGTTGGTAGCTCTAAAAAAAAAAACCCTCCTTTTTCTTCCCAGACACAATACTGTTACTGCATACTTTTGCCTGGGGTGGGGTCATCTTCTCGCCAAATCACTGAGACAGATTAACTATTTGGTTTCTTAATGTACTGATTCCCTGTAGGATCTCTGTGATTATTCTGAAGGAAATGTAGAAACATTCCTTCACATCCAAGGGATTTAAAAGGACAGAAACAGTGAATTGTCTTCATTAGAGAATGTTGTGCTGGTTTTGATTTATTGTAGATGCAGGATCTGGTGTGGAAGAGGCTGAATTCAATTGGGATGAGTATTTGGAAGATACAGGAGCACTCGCAGCACCCCACAGCTCATTTAAGCATGTAAGTACGCATTTGATCAGAGTCATTCGCCTCTGTTTTATACATCCTTTGAGGTCTCATCTGTACAGAGCCGTATTGTCAGGAAGCTCTTTTGACTTCAAACACTTCAGAACACCAACCCCCCCCTCGGGGGGGGGGGGGGGACACCTCTTGTTCTGAACTTTAATGTCATCAAAGATGCCAATAGGAGGTAGCATTAGTGGAGAGCATTTACGTCTCTCTGCCTTGCAAGGGATCTTTGTGTTCCTACCGATGCTAGAGACAGACCCAAGTAACTGCTGGCTTTGAAAATATGAAAGCATGGTCATTGCATTTTTTCCCTTGTCCCAGTATGCTTTGATGCAACCGAAAGTCTTTTGCTCTGGTTGTAAACTTAATTAGTTAAAGCGCTTCCCAGATCACCACTTTTAAGGTTATCATGTATTTCATATGGAATAGTACACTTTATCAGCAGCGTCTTGTCCCCTCCCCCCCAATACACTTTCTGGTTTAGCATCTAGCCTGAGGGCTGTGAAGCAAAGCTAGCTTGCGACTTTGTGACTTTCTTAGTCCTAATGAACGTATTATGTTACTGTTGCTGCTTACATTAGTGGTTAGTATAGCTCCAGGGTTTCCATGGTAATACATTGATTTTAATAATGTAGCAAAGTGTCGTGATGTTGCCAAAATTCGTAATTACCTAGTCTGGAATATAAATTTTCCTAGCTCATGAGGCTTGGATGCATCTCAAACTGAAAGCCACTACTTTGAGAAATTCTTCTGTAGCTTACAATGTGAGATTCTGAATATACATAACTTTTCTTTCAGTTTCTCTTTGGCCTAGGCGCTAGTTCAGCACAGTTGAGGAAACATCTCCGCAGAGTGAATTTTCAGTTTTGAGTAGTCGCACCCAGGAAGCTTTCTGAAAAAGAAGTTGGGCCATCCCTGGGTTTGTCTGACTGTACTGTAGGAATCCCCACCCAAATTGCTGATAGTATTGTGGAAGCTTTTTATTATATTTTCTGTTTCCTAGCCTTTGTTTTCTGAAGAACTGAGTTTATAAAAAATATTCTTCCCACGTCTCAGTCTTAAATGAGGTGGATGGTTATAGCTCTGCTGATACGTGCTGTGGTGTGTTCATCCCACACCAAATAGATGGGCCTTGCTAGAAGTGGACAGTCATTGGGATTAGAGAGAAGGCTGAGATGGAATTAGGATTGCCAGCTCCGTGGTAGGAAATACCTGGAGATTTGGGGGGTGGAACCTGAGGAGGGGAGGGGAGGGGCTTCAATGGGGTAGAATGCCATAGATTCCATCTTCCAGAACAGCCATCTTTTTTCAGGTGAACTGATCTCCATCACCTGGAGATCAGTTGTAATAGCAGGAGATCTCCAGCCACCACCTGGAGGCTGGTAACCCTAGGTGGAATGGATGTTGGAAACTGGTTGGCATTTCTTATTGTATTTGAAATAGTATTTGGGGAATTTGTTGTGCTCACTTTAAAAAAAAAAAGCTGTATCCAGCATTCAGCTACTGGGGCATATTGGGGCTTTAAGAAATGAAAGTGGGTGAAGTCCTTGTGGAGATGTACTAGCAATTTTCCTCAGCTAAACTGCTGCTTCAAGGATTTAAGCAAATTGGAGCATTCTTTCTGTGTGCTCACAAATTATTCAGTATCTATTTCTGCACTTGTCTATTGTATCCTTATAGAAGTAAAGATTCCCCCTTGTGGATAAATCAGTGCTTTTTGTTACATTGTGTAAACTACACTTTGCATGTAATTACCCGGGGGGAGTTAGCATTTTCCAAAACTTTTAATGCAACTGACTGTAGTCCTGAATATGACACACACACCCCCCCCCCGGAAAATGTTAGTATTTGAAATAATGAATTTATTTTTCCAGTTACTAAAAATTCCCTGTACTATATTGTACTATAAAGTTACAGTGTTTCAGACAGTAGTGTAAATGTGTGTTTTATCACCACATTTTAAACAGCATGCTTAGTTTCCACACAGCTGATGTTAAGGCTGAATTCTGCATTCATATGTACCCCAGGAAAAAAGATGTACCGAGTCAAAGGAATCCTATCATGTAAGATTTTGCCAATTAAATGAGCTAGTTTTATGTTTATATACATATAATTGCTGAAGACAGATCTGAAATCATATTTCAGGTTTCTAGTCAACTGGTCACCTGGGATTGTTTTCAGTCACACCACAATTTCACAGTAGATGCCCTAGCATAGGAAAACGTAAACTGGTAAAAAGCTGAAAACAGCCTTATGCTATTGCAGGCTTGCCAGGCCACCATAAGAGGGTGCTATTTGTGCACAAGAGAGAATTTTATGAGAAAGTTGCCTCAATTCCAGAATTATTCCAGGCTTACTTGTTTATACCACATAAGAGAAGTTCTCTCTCCTGCCGCGCCCCCCCCCCCGTTATTATATTCCACCATGTCCTTTATGAGTGCTTTAAAATTAAACTAAACTATTTTTTAAGTGAGAGAGCAGTGAAGTTTTTGTAGCAAGCCTTGCTGACTTTACAACACTGTATTTTTCTGCATTGGTAGGTCAGAATTAGAACACTTTGAAGGCCTGTGAGGATTTGCAGAGGGGAAATAATAGATTTGGAAATAGCACCCCTCCCTCTGCACTCTGGGACGAGATAAGTAGCTCCTTGATATAGTATCGGTTTGTTCCATATCTGAGCACTTCCTATGCTCCAAGAGGTAGGAGGGGTAAAAATGCCCTCCTGTCATGCTGTAGCACTCAGAGCTTTCTGTCCAGTCCTACCCATCGAAATTAGTCCTATCTTCCTTTACCTTCCCTAATTGCTTATAGTACTTGAGAATGGGGAGGAGGGTCTGAAAGAGTTGGGGGAGAATAGTGGTTGGGCATGCTTCCTACCCAACACTGATTTCAGCACCTCCCTTCCATCCACTGAAGAGTGCTATAAACAATCATAGGCGTTCACACCTTCAGGGACTCCTTTGGGGTGTGGGAAGGTACGATTAAGATTGGAGAAAATACTTCTTTCTGCTCTAATGAGGAACCCCCCGCAACAAAAATCTGTTCAGCTTCAATGTCAGAGCCCTTTGGAGTTTATAATATCCTATATTGGGGGGAAGGGAAACACATACTTCTTTGTGATCCGAATTCACACCCCCAGCCCCAAGATGCTATTAGAGACTCTATTAGACCAATCTATCACATTCCTTTTTTTCTTTTTAGGGTTTTGATTTTTAATTTGATGTTCAAAATTCTGTGCATCTTCAGGAGCAATATATATACTTTGTCCTCATTGCGGCATTTGATTAGCTATTTGCTTTTTAAAATTCATAGGGGGGGTTGTGCATATCTGGAGAATCCTCTGTACAGTCAAAAAAAATCCTAAACTGTGGGTAGCTCACTTTCACTGCTCTGCTGACAGTTATTTTATCTTCAAGTTCATTACTAGAATGTGAGAGTTGCAGCACTGTATTTTCAAAGGGAGGGGGTTAATTTACCATTTATGTTTCACATGAAGACAACACTTCTATTAAGTAGAGAATGTTCACAGTGCTGCTCCTCCCCCAGCCCCAGCAAACAAATGTGGTTAAAATGCTGTGGCTGGTTATGTACATACGATTGGCCATGTTAATGTCATCTGAGAGTAGGTAATAAATAGTGTGGTATCATTTCAAATAAATTCTTGTTGGCTTTTAGCGGCACATAATCTTTTTAGATAGTTACAAATTGAATTTTGTAATCTGTTTTAGTATGCCTGGTATTGTGGATTGGTTACAATTCTCTACACACTGGTCTCTTTTATGAGGAAAGGAGCTGGTTTTTTCCCTTTTTCCAGACTCCTTTGGTTCCTATAAAACGTCTGAGCAAAATACTGGTGGGCTGTTGCCATGGATGGCTGCTGACTTCACTGGTTTTCCCAGGCATGGCTATGTAATTGGTGGAGGCAGAAAAATGATAAGCAGTGATCAATTATGCTTGCTGGATTTGGGGCTGTATTCTGGAGTTCTCTGCCATAGGGCTATAATAATCACATTGTGCTAGAAATAGGTTTGAAACTGCTGGTTTCTAATTCTCAACATTAATCCCCACTCTCTTTTAACTTTGTATTAAAAACCATAGTCCTTTCTTCCACTCAGTTTTAATGGAGTTCTCTTTTGGTTGCCAGTTTATAAAAACTTTCCTTTGCATACTTATTGCTTATCCTTCTCATTTAGTGTTTTCTGAAAATATTTATTTACCTAGCGAGTGTCCCGAATTTGCTGAAATCAGCTGTTCTGAAATAAACTATCTGGATTCTGCTGTTACTATTTTTTCCTTGCTGTTACTATTTTTTCCTTACAGTTGTATCCAAATCTTGTGACCCTTTTATCCCAAGATATTCTGTTGTGAGTTGATTTGATATTAATTGCAGTTAGATCCAGAGATGCTAAGTCTTAGTTCCTGTTCATATTTTTTAAAACTAGTTTATACAAGCCTGGTATTTTAAACATTATATTGCTGTACTATCAGATGCTCAGATTGTAACCAGAGTTACCTTTTCATAGGTGGATACTAGCCTACAAAATGGCTTTGCGCCTGGCATGAAATTGGAGGTTGCTGTCAAACCTGACCCTGATACATACTGGGTAGCCACCATCATTACCACTTGTGGGCAGTTACTGCTACTACGATATGATGGTTATGGAGAGGACCGCAAAGCTGACTTCTGGTGTGACATCATGACAGCTGACTTGCATCCAGTTGGCTGGTGTGAGCAGAACAAGAAGGCTCTCAGAGTGCCTGAAGGTAAAAGCCTACCACAGGAATAAGAAAAGCCCGTGAAACAACTTTTCAGTAAACCTTTTGCCACTTGATTCAATCTGACCATATTCAGAGTTCTGGCAGAATCTTTTATCTTCAGTTCCTCATAGACCTCACTCATGCTTCCACAAAGGTCACAATTCCCACCTGCCATCCAGCACTGGACTCTAGAAATGTGGGTGTTGCGCTCAAAAATATTAACTGCAGTTATTGTTGCTGAACAGTGCAGATATTGCTAACCTGTTCGGGGAACAGATACATGAGCTCCACTGTTGACCTTCTTAAGATAAATATAACTTGGTCTTTTTGCTGCATTATTAGAATATAGCTCATTTTTCTTCTTTATTTTTAGGCATCAAAGATAAAATTTCTAACCAGGAAGAATTTCTGCAGCAGACTCTGAAGGGAGCTTGCAGTGCTCCTGCCAACCTTCTAGAAGGGGTAAGTGTTTTACATGCACAACTGGCAGCAGTAAAGAAACTTTATTCCTATTATCTTTTACTATTGTCATTGTGTAGTACAAAAGCTATAATAGAGCAGCTATAAGAAATTAAGAAAATCACAACAAATTAAGAAAATGCAACCCTTCTGCAGCAAAAAAAAGTCCTAGAGAGTTACTTCTTTTTTAAAAAGCTGGAAATTCAGGGGAGCGAGTAGATTGTGGCTCATTGTAATGTTGTTGTGCTATAGCAGTTTAGCAATTGCCAGTTTTAAAAAAGCTTTCCAGGGGTATTGGAGGAAGGGGTAGTTGCTAGGGGCTGAGGTAAGGAAAATGGAGCCAGTATGGGCAGGACCCTCAGAAAGGCTCACTGTCCCATCTGCTTCAACTGCATTCTTTCCAAAAAAGATTATATCAAGCCAGGTTTGAAAAAGATGGCAACAAAGCAGAGGAAAACCTAGAAACTGGGATGATAAGGGATGAAATCATGTGGATGCTTCAGTTTGGATGCAAAACTCTGTGTGGAAGCAATCTCCATGTTTGTGGTAGGTTGTGGCAGCACAAACACACAAGGAAGGGAAATTTTAATCTTGGTGTATATGAATGGTTTACCGCAGGATGTCACATTTTACAAAATAGATACAAAGGTCCATGAGAATAGGTCCTCCGTAATTGCAATAGAAGTATTTTTATCCCCTTACAAGGTAAACAGATTAAACTTTTTAATGGCAGCTGTAGCTCACTTGCCTTAGCAATCGATTGGGGGAAAGTCCCTTGAAAAGAAAACATGGGAACAATTGCAGATTCTTAATGGGGTGTGAATTACAGGTTACCATCACTTTGGCTGAACTTCTTTCAGGCTGTTGAGTGGAAGGTGCAGTATTGTGAATCATGAAAATGGAAATGCTTCCTTGCTGCAAATGGCATGTTGCTATAATTCCTGCT